CTCAGAGCATATTTACATGGCTGTTAATGGAAGGGGCTTTTGAGGAGTGCAAGAGGGGAATATGTTGCTGCCAATCAGGCAGATACTTTATGGAAGAAGCCAAATTGTATAATGGGATTTTTTTAATTTGCCTACACAAAATATGATATCATTTCTTTCTACACAAAGGGCCTCAGGTGGATTTATAATTTTTCAAATGTACCTAAAATTGTTCAGCCATGTGCTACCTAAAATCTGCACTAATACCCAGTATACAGACCACATGTTGAGAAATCTAGCTTGGACAGAGTCTAGAACAAAAATAACTTGCTGGGGCGCCTGGGTGGCTCAGTGGGTTAAAGCCTCTGCCTTCAGCTCAGGTCATGATCCCAGAGTCCTGGAATCAAGCCCCACATCGTGCTCTCTGCTCAGCAAGGAGCCTGCTTCCTCCTCTCTCTCTGCCTGCTTCTCTGCCTACTTGTGATCTCCATCTGTCAAATAAATAAATAAATAACCTTTAAAAAAATAAATAAATAACTTGCTAAAACTTTCCCTATCGAAAAAAAACCATTGTGTATATATCAAATTCAAGAACATAGATAATAAAGTTATCACTTGAAGGAAAGCAAATGCTTTTATTTTTTATTTATTTTGCCTTTGTGGTTTTTTTCTTAGATTTTAGCCTTCATCCTAATAAGGAATATCCCTGGATATGCCCGATCAGTTTATAGCTCATTTTTTGCTTGGTTTGGAAAAATTTCATTAGAGGTTGGTACATTAATATTTTGTTTAATCTTACACAGCCAAGTGTTACGTGTGTGTGTGTGTGTGTGTGTAAATCCAAAATACATTTTTTTAAAAAATCAAAGCTGTGTTCTGTATGGAAATACAGAGAAGAAACTCAACTTTCAATAGCAATAAAGTAGTATATTTCTAAAAGCTTATTTAAATGACTAGACATAGATGACTTTCAAATATTCTTTATATTGTCTTAAGCTTTTAAGCACTAAATTGCTGAGATCAGAAAAGAAAAATAGATTGAAATGAAGTTTATAAAAGATATAAATGAAGTCGAGCTGAAGGGATTTTGATTTGTTCTTCATCTCCATAATTAAATATTACCGGAATTTAGTTTATCAATACTTATCCTAATAAAATTCACCATTATGATTGGAAATTTGGGAAAATTTTTTAACCGTATTACATTTTATATGAAATACTATGACTTATTTAAAACCTTAAAGTAGGTTTAAAAAAAATTCTGAATATTCTTCACTCTATTATTCAAAGTAGAACATTTTAATGAGGAAACAGAACAGATTTTAATCTGTTTAATAAATGATATATTTTAGAGTATAAGATTTATTAAGTTGTCCTTAAAATAGGGAAAATAAATTTTTGAGTTCTTTAATAAATGTTCTATTGTTTTTTTGTCTCATAAGTGAGACTGAATAGAATTTAGAATTATTAACCAAGAATGACTTACCAAGTCATTCAGTAAATAAAAGAATATTTGTTTTGCTATCCCCTTAATATTAGGAGCATGAGCATTTTTATTTAATGAATGAATTTATAATTTGGTATTTCTATTAAAAATATCAAAATTGTATAGTCTCATATTTGAGAGGTAGCTTGCATTTTTCTACTCTCTGATATTTTGAAACAATGTGATGAAAGAACCACATTTGTAACCACATTGAAAGTTATAGGGCAACCCTCTGAGGTCTCTTCCGTCTTCCAGAGCTTTGTAGTATGGCTCAATAAACTTTGCTTTACTGCCCACCACTCTTCAAAAGAAAGAAAAAGAAAGTTGTAGTGGTGTCAACTAATATGTATACTCACATGGAAGTTGCAGTATACTTTAGGAACAGGCAAATGTAGTTGGAAACATTTGGCTGTGCAGAGCAAACTTAAGGATATCATAATGCCTGTATCACTTCCTGTTCATATATCCACATAAGAAATATATTCACAAATATGTGTAAATATGCAGTATGCACATATGTGCACAGACCCACAGTAACTCTTTATTTGGGGTCTAAAGACCAGAGTCCAGAAATCCTTCTGTCAGCTGTCTTCTATGTCATGCAAAAAAGAAAAAAAAATTTAAAAAAAAAAAAATATATATATATGTGTGTGTGTGTGTGTGTGTGTGTGTGTGTGTGTGTGTGTGTTTTCTAGTTGTAAGGTCCATGTGTGATTTCTTGGGGACTTTGAAGCCATGCTTCCACAAGTAGGAGTTCTGAAGAGCAGACTACAGTCAGCTTTTCAGGACCAAGAGTGAAATGGAAGTAAATGGTTTGGAAAAAGCCTTCTAACATGATTATGCTAGTAAATGTTTAAATTAGGCAAAATTGTGATGTAGTCATTGACCCTCTGTATATATCTAACTTTAAATACTCTCCTTCCAGCTCTTTATTTGCCAATATCACATATGGCTGGCCGCCGACACCAGAGGCATCTTGGTACTCATACCTGGAAACCCTATGCTCAACATCATTGTCAGCACTTTCATATTTGTTTGTGTGGCGCACGAAATTTCTCAGATCACTAATGATCTTGCACAGATTATTATTCCTAAAGATAACTCATCTCTCTTGAAAAGGTTGGCATGTATAGCTGCATTTTTCTGTGGACTCCTCATCTTATCGTCGATTCAAGATAAGTCAAGGCATTAGGTTCCTAAAATCCTAAGAAACTTAAAACTCTTCAGGCTAATTTTGTGTCTACCTAGAGGAGAAAAGCGTCTATCTGGAGATATAAATGTATATGTAAATTAAAAACGCTTGTGGCAAGAGGACAGCTCGGTGGCGTCTGTTGAACATGAGTGGTTGTATATATCGGAAAGTACGTCTCCAATGTGAAATACTAAAAACCAGTTGAAGCAGAGTGCATTGTATAGGATTGCATGTGAAACGTCTTTTCTACTGGATCTGTGTATTTCCATTTATAAATGATTTTAAGTTAACACAAAGGCAGGGAAATAATTACCTTTCCAGTAAAAACATAATTTAATTAGCTTAGTGGCACCGCTGAGTGTTTTGATCTTTACTAAATTTGTGGTAATTAGATTGTCTACACCTGTATTCATCATGGAAGTTCCTACTTCACTGAAAACTTTCTTACTCCAGACTGACTGCAGTATTGTTTTCTTACCATATGTGCAATGATGTGGAACGATGAACAGTATGCCTTTAACTTATATGTGTTCACGTGCTGATGTTACCTGTTTTTGACATGGTTTTTCTTCTGGACTGTGGTTTTCAGGTATTCCTAAATCTTTGTACACTTTGTCTCACAGAGTTGTTTTAGGCTCCATGACAGGGTTTTGTCACTGTCGATGTTGTTGTCACTTCTTTTATAAAAAGGCCAAATTTTCTTTCCAGTTGAAACCCTCATCCATTTGTTTCCTTTCCTTAAGCTATACCAGTGTGATACCAGTTACCCTGTGGATCCAATTAATATGTTTTCCTCCAACTAATTAATTTCTGTCTAGTACTTCCAGTGTTTGGAAAGCTCTTTATAATCATTTTGGTATTTCCTATTACCTCCCCTCCCCCCCATTTTTAAAAAAATACATATTTATCAATCTAACTGGTGCAGTGTCGTAAAGATTGAAGCTGTTTTGACTGCGACGTATAACCATAAGTAGAATTTTAAGTAAACCGGTGACTTTGGGCAATATATGTTTTTTGTCTTGTTTTGTTACAAGCTAACTGTTAGAGGTATAAATTTATTTATCTGTTGTACAGATTTGATTATAACGTTTAATGTTTGAAAGATTGCACTTGTTTGCTCTTATTGTGTGTGGGATAAAATATATTTTCTGTTCATGGTATATGAATATATGGAGTAATTTAAACAGTAAATAAACGTTCTGTGGATGCTTATTTTTGTATGGGCAAAGTATCGATTAAACTGTATGTGTCCTTTTTTTAAAAAATCTGGATCCATTCATGATTGGTTCAAATTTCTAATTTATTTCTTCAGCTTGAATTTGCTTTTCCAAACTCTTTGTGCATAGGGAGAGGTCACTGTGATAGTTGAATAAGGAATGATTTAGTTATCAGGGTGTCAGAGGATAATCTGCCTTTCCACCCAGGAAGTTCAAGCACTGTAGTTTATTAGTAGTCTTACTTGAAGATCTTGAAATTTTAATTATTATTTCTTCAGCACTGGATTTATGTGCCAGTGATCTCTTCCCATTAATTGTGGAATAATTCTCAGATAGAAATGTGTGTTCTTTCTTTTTCTCTCTTCTTCTGCCCTTACTTAATCTTTTGACATTTCCCAGATAGACAATTGTAATGATTCATTGCTCTGCCTCCTAGACTGCAGCCTTATAAGTAGAGGATAGTATAGTTATAAATCAAAAACTTCCAAGTACCATAATCACATTATTCTTGCTGGTGTGGCTTGCCAATGAGTAGAGTGCATTTTAATTTAGCTTGTAAGTTTTATCGCCTAAAAAAGATTCTTCCTGATGAAACAATTGAAAAAGAAAGATGACCAGCATTTCTGTTTTTTGGAAGCACTTACGTCTTCCAGTAGTGATGCCCAATGAATATGTTTTCTTTCCTATTCGAATTCAACCTTAAAACTTAACTAGCAAGCCCTTTCTTCATCACGTGCTCTCATTTAATATGCCCCACAGTTTTATTATATATAATAATTGCAAGATAGTCCTTTTGTAATTAAAGTATATTCTGTTCACATTTAATTTTCTTAATGAGTCTTATGGGTAAGAGGTGATTGTGGTAGAAGTTGCCATAAGGATAGCATCTCTTTATGGTATAGGTTTTAATACCCTTTCTGCATTGATTCAGATTCTGACTAGCATTGCTCACTCATACCATTCTTCAGAAAAAGATGTTTAGCAGGATATTTCGACACACTAAAATTGAGATAAAGCCACAGAGGCTCTCTAAACTCAGATTTTCTCTATGGTAGATTGCACTGAGACCTCTACCATCTGATCCCAGAAGGGACTTGCTTGACTCAAACCTACCTCAATCCTTCCGTTTCCTTTGCCACACCTTCCCATTTCTATGGATAGCCAACATAGCCTAAAAATTCATAGCCTTGACCTAAAACCATTCACTGTACCTCTAAGCTAGATCCTATGATTTGTTTTAGGTCCTGGTATAAAATAACATTTGCACCCTGCCATTCCCTTGTAAGGTAAGTTAACCAGTTACAGTTTTAAAGGTGAGTGATTTTTTTCTTCACGAGTGCCTTATGATTTCAAATGTTAGCATAGGAAGCTTGTAAGTATAGTAAAATTTAATGTGTATCTGTGTTTATATTTAATTTTTTTACTAGATTATAATTAATGTAAATAAGTAAACTATAGGACCAAGGGCGGAACCTTCATGTAATGGATACTCAATAAAAGCCAGTTCTCCAAAGAATGTGCAATTTCTAGGACAATGCATGGCTTCCTTTAGATTGTCCCTCCACCTTGAGCTTGGGACTTTTAACAAACCCTGGGAGAGTCAAGTTGGAATTTTATGTTGAGCTGTTAATTACAACACTCATTTTTAGCCTATAAAAATGGCAGTTTCAGGGCGCCTGGGTGGCTCAGTGGGTTAAAGCTGCCTTCAGCTCAGGTCATGATCCCAGGGTCCTGGGATGGAGCCCCCACATCAGGCTCTCTGCTCAGCAGGGAGCCCCCTTCCTCCTCCCTCTCTGCCTGCCTCTCTGCCTGCCTCTCTGCCTACTTGTGATCTCTATCTGTCAAATACATAAATTTTTAAAAATCTTTAAAAAATAAAATAAAATAATGGCAGTTTCATATGACTCAACCTCACTGCTTCCCTTTTGTAAAAGATAACTCAGGTAGTTATCTTCAGAACTTACTTCAGACATTCCAAAAACTAAGTCTGGTTTTATTAAGAGTGATTTTGACGATTGGTGAAAACTTAAAATATGCCCGTTTGAAAAGCTCCATTAAATCTAGATTTGTCTTTCTTCAAATGAAATCCCTTCTAGTGTCTTGTGCAGATTAGAAATATTTTATATATTTTTTTAATTTAAGTTTTTTTTCAGTGATCCAAAATTCAATGTTTATGACCCACACCCAGCGCTTCATGCAATATGTGCCCTCCTTAATACCCACCACCAGGTTCACCCATCCCCCCAAGAAACCCTAAGTTTTTTCTCAGAGTCCACAGTCTCTCATGGTTTGTCGCTGCCTCTGATTTCCCCCAACTCACTTAAAAGTTAGATCTATAAAATTATATAAACAAGAGACTGTTTTCCAAAAGTAGAGTTGATATCATGAACTGTAAAATATCTAATGGTTTAATTAGAAATGACTTACTTGTTTCTTATTTTTAAAATACCATTCCAGAGCATAAAAATGGGATAGATGAACATTTTAAAAAGAAATTTGTGGTTACCTAGAGGTATTTTTGTCTTCCAGAGGGCAAAATCTTCATACTTAAAAGTAATTATTACAATATTTTAAAATTCAGCTAGTTTTATTAGCTTGTATTCCTTATTGAGAAAACATTTGAGAGAATTTTCTAATAATAAAGTCACTAAAAAGAAAACTATTAACAAGACTTTATTTTTTAATTCTAAAGCTGCTGCAGATGGATTTTTAATTCTTTTGCTCTCCATTGCCGAAATAACAAAGCTGGCGTTAACTACTGGTAAAAGCTCTCTCTGTTTATCACCCCATCTCTTCTTAATATGAATTCCAGCCAGGACAATCTTACTATTCCCAAATATCATACTCTTCTTTTGTTCCCACTCTTTTCATCTACCTAAATCCAACTTATTTCAAGAATTAAGAATTTAAGAATTTGAACTCCACCATCTCTGTGAAAACAATACTTTCATTATCTTTTTTAAAAACTATTCTAGCACTAATCTTCAGTAAGGTTACAACTCTAGGGTCAAGAGGGTATTTCTTACGGGTTTAATAAGGAGCTAGACACAAAGTGGACATATAGAGGCTTAACCATCAGCCAAGGGATTCTGGCTTTATTTCTCCCATCTTAAAAACAAAACTCCTCTTTATCTCTTGTGTTCCCAGAGCTACTGCCTCATTTATTTTCTCTTACAGACCCAAGCTGCTCTTGTCAAGATCAACGAGAACCTCCATATTGCCAAATCCAATGATCAGTTCTCAATCTTCACCCTACTTGACCTATAAGTAGTACTTGACACAGTTGATTTACTGCATGCCTGTCCAGCCACCTTCTCTATGCTTCCAGGACATCATCGTCTCCTTCAGTAGCCATTCCTCCAGTCTTGTTCCTTGGGTCTTCTTCACACCGTCAACCTCTAAATTGCAGTCCCCCAAAACTCAGACCTTAGACCTCCACACTCACTTCTTAGAGATATCACCTAGTCACATGTCTTTATTACCTATATTCTGAGGACTACCAAATTTATATTTTCAGTCTAAACCTCTTCTCTACAATTTAGACTCAAATATCCAACTGCCTACTTAACATCTTCATTTGAATATCTAAAACACATATCAAACATAACAAGTCAAAACCAAAACTAAGCTTCCCAATACTGATAACAAAAACACCACAAACTTCCTCTTCTCGGTAAATGGTAGCTACATCCTTCAGCTTGTTCAGATAAACAATTTTAACTCCTCTTTTCTTACACCTTAACATCATAACTTTTAGTACATCTTGGCAGCTTCATTTTCAAAATACATCCATAATTCAGTAATTCAGCCACTTTTCGTCACCTCTGATGTGATCACCAGCTCTTTCCTGGAATACTGTAATGGCTTCTTTTTTTTGCCCCATAGTTATGACCCATTTATACCTTTGCTTACCTATTTTTTTATTTTCTATCCCTCCCCATGAGAACCTGATTTTTCTGAGGACAGGGATTTTTCCGTTTTATTCACCATGGTATCCCCAATTCTTAGAACAATGCCTATTAGTTATTTGCTAGGTGAATTCGTGAACTCCACAAGAAATGGTGTCAAGTGCTAACCCCACTTGAGACAGGTAGGCAGTCATGCAAGGGTGAGGCAGCTGGGAAAAAAACTTTTCCTTAGCCATTTGGACAAGAGGCTAAAGATACACTGTCTTTGACTGTTAGAATGTTGATTTGCATAATGATATTTTAAAAAAAAATGTAACTCACTCATGCAGCCAGGTAAATAGTGACTTGACAGCAGGGTAGGGGTCTTTCTGCCCTCCATTGCAACCGCCTGCGGAACTGAACCCCAGCCATACCATATAGTCTTTTACTCACTGTGGGTCCATCCTGTCATTCCTCATTTTCTTGCTTTATGCTGGGGCCATATGTCAACCGCCATTTTGCCGTTGCACTTACGTGATTATTTTTCTTGTAGTAGAGAATTATTTATTTGGACTCCTATCTCTATTGGAAGTAAGAAAGCCATGTATTTTAAAAAGAGAGAGATATTGTGCTTTTTGTGAAAGTCAAAAATATTCCTCTGTGTTTATTTTAATAGGCAAAATGTAACTGTGTCAAAGAACACAACTTAAAAATTCATTATGAAATAAACTAAGCTAAAACCCACTGCCAGTACTTAGAAACGTATGTGAGTGCCAGTATAAATAAAATAAGATTAATGAATTAAATGAGCCTGACATTTCAACAGGACTTGATTTTAAATAAAAGAAATTTAAAAATAATAATCCTGTGAAATTCAGATATATATTAAGTGAAAAAATTTCATCAAAACATTTAACAGATGGTAACTTTTATGTAAAAGCATATCTACTGAATGTAGCAAAAATTACATGCCCAAAGAAATAAGCAGAAATCACATGCCAAGAAGAAGTAAGCTTTTGAAAATAGGATAATTGGGAAAACTCTTGTCTTCCTCAGTATATCAAGGTACACTAGAGAACTTACAGAAAAATTTATGAAAAGTTCATTTGTGACATTTTCTATTGTAGTTGAGAGTCCAGGTATCAATAATACCACCTACTTGGCTATATTTATGTGTACTTTCAGAGAAAATTCTAAGGTTACCAAGTGATTCAGAACCATACCTATGTCAGATTCATTACTGATCAATTTACTTGAAAAAAAATTAAAGTTTGATATAGGCTAATATTAATATTAATCAAGTTATAATTAATAACATGACAAAATTGGAATACCTGAACTCTGCGTAGACTTTAGGAATAGTGGCCTTAGAATATAAATACTAGTATGCAGATATTTTTCCATGTTCAGAAGTAACAATTATGAAGAATTTGGGAAACTATAAAACTGAATGAAATCACATATCCTTTGTCTCTAAAGGAGTCAAAGGTAAAATTATACTTAGTATCACGATGAAAAACCTGACATTTACATCTTAGTAAAAAGATGGTATCAAGATTCTTATCTCAAGAGAGAAAAATGTCCTAATTAAATTTATTTTCCCTTTTTAAAATTTTCAAATTTAAAATATCCAATTTTATAAATGTTTGTCATATTAAAGGCTTATCATACAGTAAAAACAAAGCTCTATTCAGTATCTGGCAGTTTTGTGGGGTTTTGTTTGTTTTCTTCATTCTTAGCCCTCTTCATAGACCTGTCTGTCATCACAGTAAGTACTTCATTTTGACGATAGCTTTTTCATAAACAAACCAGTTATGTTTTTTGTTTTGTTTTGTTTTGTTTTGTTTTGTTTGACAAGTCATCAGATCAAAGTCCTGCTTATAAAAGGAGTAGATCCTCCTCTGTGAGAATACATGAGGTTGGTTTCAGAAGATAGTTAATGTCTGAAGGGGCAAGATGTGTATCTCTTGCGTAATTCAGGAGAAGAGCAGTGACAGCCAGCTCTGGTCTAGAAAGAGCAAACTAGAACTAAGAAGCCATCTCTTCTTTACTTCCTTCCATCTCATCTTCACCTTTGATAGAAAACATGTAGTTGGGGCACCTGGGTGGCTCAGTGGATTAAGCCTCTGCCTTCTGCTCGGGTCATGATCCCAGGGTCCTGGGATCGAGCCCCGCATCGGGCTCTCTGCTCAGCAGGGAGCCTGTTTCCCCCTCTCTCTCTGCCTGCCTCTCTGCCTACTTGTGATCTCTGTCTGTCAAATAAATAAATAAAATCTTAAAAAAAAAAAGAAAACATGTAGTTGAAATCTGAGGGGCCCAGCACTTTCAAAACACACACACACGGAGGACATGGAGCTGGAGCCCTTTCTCAGAGACTACAAAATTTAACTTGGCACCTA